CCTGGGGCCCTCGGCCCACGGCCCCGGAAGTGGATCCCTCTCCCGCGGCTGCAGCCTCCCCCCATGGGTGGCTGGACACGGCTGGATAATCCAAAATAATTCCCTCTTGGCAGGCAGCCGGCGGGGGAGGGGGGACTCACATTCCAAACCCTTGTTTTTCTCACTAACTTCCCTCCCCTCCTGAGGCAAGAAACCCCTGGCTGGACCTCAGGCCTCCCCCAGCCCCTCAGACCGAGGGGGGCCCCCAGTAGGCACGACGGGAGTAGGTGGGAGGACCAGACCCACCTTCTTGTCCTCAGTCTCCTCAAAGAATTCCTGAAAGCTGATCCGAACCAGAAAATACCCAGCAGGCCCAACCAGGCCAGTGCTGACCCTGCCCTCCTCGGACGCTCACCTCAGGACAGAGGGGCACTCTCTCCATCGGCTGTCCAACTCTCAGACTGAGATGGCATCTGCTCTCCATGCCCGGTTAACATCTGGGCATGAGGCCAGGCTGAGACCCTCCCCCTCCAGGCAGCTAACCCTAACCCGCTATTCAGAGCCGAGCCCCTAGTCTGGGGAGGGGGAATTGGAGAGGAGGGCTCTGGGCTGAAGTTAGACATGGAAGGGGAGCTCCCCTGGGCAGGCACGGCCGTGAGAGGCCTCCAAGCTCCAGAACATTCTACCGGCTTTGGGACCCAGCTTCACCCAGAGTCCTGACCCCCACCACAGGCCACGATGGGCACAGACGGACCCCTTCGTTCTCCGAGTTGATGGGAGGAGGAATCCAAAGACGTGGCAGGAAGCTCCCAGGCTCTTGAGTTCAAGGGCCCCCAAATCTCCCAAGCCAGCCTGGGCACAGAAGGCGGGAAGGGCCTATCCAAGAGGGCTTCCTGCTAGAGGAAGCATGCAGGGGTGCAGGACCAGTGGGAGGGCGGCAGGGCCCAGGCACTAAGTGTGCCCCGACCCACTTCTGTGACTTTCCGAGTCCCAGGCTGTCTACCTGAACACCACACCAGGACCGGCCAGAGCAGGCCCCGAGGAGACGCAGGCGCAGGGCCACCAGGGCTGGCCAGTGCCCCTGGTCCCGACCCAGAGCCCTGAACCCACTTTCCAGTCCTGCCAGGTGCAGACCAGGGATTCACGGGGTGGCCTCTCCCATCCCCTTCTCACAAAAAGCCCCGGGGAGTGCGGGGGCTGCCAAGGCCTGACCGTGGTCCAGCCCCCTGGGGAAGGCCCAGGCTCAGCCACCTGGAGCCGCGGCTGGGTGGGTGGGGTGGGGGCCCGGGGCTCTTGCACAACAGGGACTCTCCCGCCGTGCCCCCGGATCTCGGAGACGTGAGAGGATGGGCGGGGAGGAGGGTCGGGAACCACAAGAGACCCAAGCGTCTCCAGAACGGTTCGGGAGGCGGGAGCGGGCGCGGGCGCGGCGCCCCCCGGCCAGGCCAGGCCTGCTCTCCCCGCCGCCGCAGGCCCCGCCTGACTCTCGGACAAGCACGGGGCGGGAGCGGCCGTGCCCCAGCTGGACGGACCCACGGACAGCGACCGAGGCCCGAGCCGTCCTCCCCGGGGCGGCAGCTGCCGCGGGTCCCCGCGCCCCGAGCGCGGCAGGCGGGAGGCGCGGCGCTAACAGCGAAGCCCCCCAGCGGCGCGGCCGCCCCCTGAGCCTCGCACCCCCACCTCGGTACCTGCACGTCCGCCGCCGAGGCTCGATGGCGCCCGGGCCGAGATCGGCGCTGCGCCCTGGCCCGCGCGGCTGCCATGGAGACGGGCCTTTGTGTGGCCAAGGAGGGGCCGGAGCGCGCGGGAGCAACGGCCCCGCCCCCGACGGGAGAGGGGGAGGCGGGGAGCGGGAGGGGCGGGGAGGCGGAGGGAGAGGGGCGGGGCGCCCCCCCACGCGCGCCCCGCGCCCCCCGTGGGCTTGCCGCGTCGCAGGGCAGGTTCGGCCGGGTTCTCGCCGGGCCTCGCGCCGCCCCCGCCTGGCCTGGCACCACCGCGGGAGCGCCGCGGGCCGCACCCGGGCCACAGCGAAGCCCCCCAGCGCGCTCGCGGCCCTCTCAGAGGTGGGCGGGCGCCAGCACCTCCTCCACGGACGGCATGGGCCCGCCCCTCCTGCCCCTCCCGGGTGGGGAATGCTGGGCCCGTCCCGTTCCCCGGAGCCTCAGCCCCAGATCTCCTGGGGGAAGAGGGCGCCTGCCCAGACCCCACTCCCAGCTCGCCTTCAGCCCCCAGCTGCCCCCTTCCTCCGTCCTCCGCCCCCAGGGCCTCTGGGGACGTGGCCAGCTGGGTCTTTGAGAGCTTCTCCCTGGGGTTCCCAGCTCTGGACTTGAACTGGCCCCACTCTGGCCCCTGCAGCCCCCGCCTACCCTGGCCCTGATGCCCCCGGAGCCCCCTGAGCTGGAGAAGAGGTAGGGACCCCTTCATGCAGCCAGCTCTCTGTGCTCTTCCCGCTCCTCCAGGCGTAGGTCTGGATGTGGTGAGCAGCAGCTGGGGGCCCAGAGAGGGCACAGGGCCATCCCCCAAACCCCAACCCGCATCCCTGCACTGGGATGCTCCCTCTTCCCCTTGGGGACCTGCCGTCCGCCCAGACTTGCTGCCTCCGTGTAGACAGCCCACTTCCTCCCCTACCAACCCTCAGGCATCCCCTCCCCGTCTGTTCTCCCCACCCTGGGACCTGCCCCCAAAGCCCAAGGACTCCCCACCCAGGAGAATGTCACTCATCCTGGCCACCCTCCCACCCCCGCCAGCCCTGAACCACATCCACACCATGGCCACCCAACTCCCACTACAGGGAACCCTAAAATTACCAACTGGGAGCCAACTTCGTATCAAAAAAGGAAGTTAAAAGACAAGCATGTGTCACAGAAAGACATTTCAATACCAAAACTGTGGGAAGGCCAGTATCCCAGACGGAAAAGGATTCTCTAAATAAAGTCCAGGAAGCTTGGGGGCAAAGACTGTCCTTCCTGTCCCTGCAGCAGCCAACCGCCATCTTCCAGCTCAGCCCCCAGGCTGCCACACCAGGCCCTGCGTGCAGTCCGGCCTCCCGAGGCCTCAGAGCCGGTCCGCAGCAGCCTCCCGGGCCAGCGGGCACCTGCTTATCCAGGCCCTCCTGCCCGTGGAGCTGTGGTGCCAGGGGTCCCTCCTCGCTCCTCACTGCCTTCTTCCCATCTGACGAGGGGACAGAGACCCAGCCAAGCCAGAGTTGGCCCAATACTGGGTAGGAACAAAGGGGCTTCTGGGGAGGAGGGAGCTGGCAGGACACCGCGCCTAGCCACCCCCCACCCTCACACCACAAAGACTGGGCTGTGCCCAAAGCAGGTCCATACAGTGCAGTCAGGTCACAAGGAAAAGGGACCAGACCCTCCCTGGGCCGGGGCGCTCCAGGGGGCTTCCTCCCACCTCTGCACTTCAGCCTGGGACTCCTCCCTGCCGGGAGTCCCTCCTCCAGCGCCCTCCCCTTTCCCAGGGAGCCTGTGGAGGGGCTGCTGTGAGGGACAGCTTCTGGCCTCCACCAGAGCCCTAGGGGAGGACTCAGGAAATCAGGGGAACCTAGCTGTGCCTTCCTGGACTGCTGGCCCCTGATGAAGCTCCCCGGGGGCTGCACAGAGGCTACTGTCCTCGCCCCTCAGCCCTGTCATGCGCAGCAGCCCTCAAAAAACCAAGTGAGGTGCCCACAATATGGGAGCCACAAGCTGGAGTGATGTTTGATGCATATCCCTCACCTAGGCCAATTTCCCAGGCCACCCACACACCTTGAAGCCCCCCAGGCCCCAACCCTGCCTCCCAGCTCCTTCTCCAGCCAGTCACAAGGACGGCACTGGCATCTCTGCAGACCCCGTGGAGATCACACCCTGGGCAGGGAGGCCATCCGTCCAGACCAGTTGGGCAGGCTGCCCAGAGTGGCCTTGGGGCCAATATAGTGCCTCTCACTGCAGGGTCTCCAGCTTGCCCCTTTTGCAAAAATGGATTCACTGCCTCTGCCTGCCTTTTTCTGTCCTGTTTAATTGTGGTCATGCCTTTGGACCCAGTACTCAAGTGGGTTCAACTGTCTATGGGATGGAGACAGTGACAGGCTGTCCTAAGCATGGTAAGGGCTGGAGAAGATGACACTGGCAGTTCTGAGACCTGTGCCCAGGTCATCTGGTGGAGTGCAAGTGGCAGAGTGCTCCACCCACACTGGCTCACTGCCAGGGCCCAGCTCAGGAAGCCACAAGCCGCATGCATGTGGGTCTCTCGGGCAGATATGGGTCAGGTGTCTACACAGCATCACTTCCAGATAGGAACCTTGGGGCTGGAGGTTGGAGAACTACTCCCGGCTCTGAGTCCATGTCTCATCCCCACCCTTCCACTGACAGACAGAGCTGTCATCTTGTGCTGGGTGGGCCATGGCAGTGCTCCATGGTATCAACAACAGCATAGTACCTCTGAAGACCTTTTACTGCTTGCCAAGGAGTTCAGTGCCCCAGGGCTGCGGTGGCTGTGCAGGGCTCTGGCTTGTGGGCTGATGAGGCTAGTGTGCCTGCGTCATGTGGGTGGATGGACATGAGCCGAAGCCAGTGCCCATCAGCTGTAAACAGCGTGCAGCAGAGTGGAAAGAGATGGTACCTGGTGGGGTACTCTTAAGGGGTCCCAGGACAACCCTGGAGCCTCCTGGCAGCCTGCTGGGCCTCCCAACACCCTGGTGGCCTCCCAGCAAACCACAGGAGAAAGTTCCTCCCCCAGCAAAGCAGCCTGTGCCCCTCTCAAGCCAATGACCACAGCGAGGTACTCCCAGCCCCAGGCAAGACAGGTGGTTGGGCTACATGAAGAGTGGCTTGCCTGTCAGCTGCCTCCCTCCATCTTGGGCTAGGCAGTTTGGTGGGGCTAAAGGGCACATCAGGGCCTGCAGGGCTCAGGCAGCTGGGTGCCCCGATGAGTGAGGGCTCACAGCTGGCCGGGAGCCCCAACCTGCAGCCCTGCGGAGGTGGTTTGTGGAGGCTCTGGTCAGTGCATGACCCACCAACAGTCAGGGGCCACACTGTGGTTCCAAACGCAACCTTTACTGCTGCAACAATTGTAGCACCAGGCGGGGCCAGGAACAGGAGCGGCAGGGAGCTTGGGTGGGGCTAACCCTCACTGAGGTCAAGGAAGCTCAGCCTTACCCAGCCCCCAGGGGCAGCTAGGCCCCTGTACCAAGCCCCATGACCCAGACTTAGGGAGAGCCCAGGATGGCCTGCAGGTCCTTGGGCAGGGAGCTGATGACCATCTTGATGGACAGCCGTGCCCGCTGCAGTGTTGCCTCCTTCACGGGGAGCTGGTGGCCCTGTGCTCGCACCTGCAGGGGCAGCAAGGGGCAGGGGCAGGTGACCTCCACGTCTGGTTGGCTGAGGCTGGGCAGAGTTGGGAGTTATCTCACCAGCTTCTCCTGAAGTTTCAGGACCAGGTCCACGACCTCCACCTCAGATTTGTCCTTCATCCAGGTTTCAATGTTCTGCTGGGGACAAGACAGGGCCACCCATTACCCAGGCCCTCCCTAAGCCCTGGGCCTCTGCCCCTGCTCCAGCCCAGCCCCCCTTACCGCCTCACAGATGGCCTCAAGGTGCAAGGCTTCCAGTTTATGGGCCATCTCTCTGTGCTGCTGCCGGTACCAGCCATCAAAATGGGGGGACTGGAGAAACCGCCTGTGGGCAGCAAGGGGCAGCAGCTGTGGAGTTGACTGTGTGCGTCAAGGGGAAAGCACAGGCAGCTTGCTGTCCACCCACCTGTAGAGGCCCAGCCAATCCCCCTTGAGGGTGCAGGTGAGCTGGGACCCTCTGTGCTCCAGGCTGTGCAGGAAATCATCCCGGCAGAAGGGGCGGACCTGGGGAGGAGCCTGAGATAGGGGCGGGTGAGCCCAGGTGCCTGGAGGCACACTCACAGGCCGGCCTCAGCTGGGTCAGGACCCTCCCCCAGGACACTTCCCGCATTCCTTGGCCACGTGAGGACCCGCAGCCCCCACACAGCTGCCTAGGACAGATGCCAAGATGGCACTTCCTATAGGGGAGGCCTCCCACACCCCATGTGACCCCATTTCTCTGTCTCATGGGGACACCCAGCCCTGGGAGCTCCTGCACTCCCACCACCTCTTCCCCATGCCCACTCCTAGATGACCCCCCCCGTCCTCTAGAATCTGGTTGAGAACCCACCCTCCCCTCCCCGCCCCAACCACCACCCAGACCCCCACCTTCCAGGGTGTGATGCTCTTCTGCAGGGGCATGAGGCTGGCCATGTACTGCTCCTGGGGGGGAGGGCAGTGAGTCTGGGGCCACAACCCTGTGTCCCCCACCCCTTGCCCAAGCCTTACCAGCGGGAGGAGGAAGCTCTGTGTGAGCTCCAGGAGGCGCCGCCTCAGCAGGGCAGCCTGCGCATCCCAGGGCCGCTTCTTCTGCAGGCCCTGTGGGAGGAGGGGTGTGTGTCTGAGCCCCAAGGCTACAGGCCACATGCCCCCTTCGGCCACCAAGCACACATTCCCTGCCCTCTCAAGCCTCCCAGCCCCTACCTTGAGCAGCCGCTTGAGCAGCGCCTTGTCCCGATGGAGGTGAGCCGTGTAGGCGGTGTAGAGGCCTAGTGGGAGGACACAGCTGCCGTCCTATACCACGGGGGCTTCCTCCCACATGCCCCAGCCCACCTGGGTGAAGCAGAGACTGAGCCACCCTCTAGGACTGGAAGCCCACTGCCTGGGTCCCGCAAGAAGAGGGGCTCCGCCTGAGGGGCTCACCTGGTTTGGTGTCCAGAGTCTTCAGCCTCGAAGGCTTTTTCAGCTTAACCTGCTTAGGAAGGTCCCCTACGAAACACACCCCATGGCTGGGCCTCAGCGCCACGGCTCCACTGCCCCGGGCTCAGACTCCTCAAGGTCCCTTGCTGGGTGGGTCTCTGAGACCCCCACCTCCCTAGGACCCCTGGGCAACGGCCAGGCCAGCTTCACCTGACATCATGGGCTCCCCGACACGGAGGATGTGGGGCCAATGCTGGAGTGTTTTGATAAAGAAAGGGTTCGTGACTCCCAGGACCACGTTTGGTCTGGAGAGAGAGGAGAGAGAGAGAGAAGAGGCAGAGAAGCAGACCCAGTACCCAGCCCAGGAGGGCAGAGAGGGCACAGGCACTTACGGGGCCTGTGTGCGCGTTGAGAATTCCTTGAACTCGCTGTCATGGATGGTGAAGTAGGGGCGGTAGTCACAGCAGAACCTGAGGGGCTGCAGGCAGCTGTGGGGGTGCAGCGGGGCAGTGAACACAAAGGGCTGCTCAAGTGCCCCCACCACCCCTGTGCGGCTGCCCAGCCTACCTAGTCAAGGCCAGCACCATCTCCGAGGAGGCGGCCGGCGAGGGCGCCAGGACCACCAGGGGCTCTCCAAGGAGCATGAGCTCCCACAGCATCTGCACGTGCGTCAGCACAGGCTGGAAGCACCTGGTGCCAGGCAGGGCTAGGCAGGGAGGCCTGGCAGGGGCAGAGGCTGCCCAGCCCTGTCTCCACCCCAGGCAGCTCCCAGTGAATGCCAGGTACTGCCCTGCCGGTGAGGACATCTGAAGACGCTGAGGGCATATCTAGGCCACCCCATGCTGACAGTCCAGGTGCACCGGCCTGGCCCTGTGCCCTCCATGCCTGAGCCGGCAGCCCTGGCCCCTGCTTGGCCCAGCACGGGCAGAGCAGTTTCTGAAGCCTGGCTCTCTCACAGACTTGCCCAGAGAGGGGCAGCCTCGGGCAGCACGGATCCCCCTAAGACAGCCACTCCCAGCCCTGCATCTGCCTTCCAGAGCCCTTCTGCTCGCTATGTCCAGACACGGGCGCAGTGGGTTCCTCTTCTGTGTGATTCTCCCTCACAGATCTGGCCAAGGGTTGATTCCTGGTGGCTAGTCCCCCTAGTGGTCCTCACCCTGCACGGGCTTGAGCCTTGGGGGCTTGCTCACAGTCTACCTGGGCAGCGGGCAGCAGCCTTTTGGACTCACCTGAACAGGTCCAGCTCGTGGACACTAGTGAGGATCACTGGGGCTGGCAGCAGGTGCTGAGAGGAGGCATGGGTGGGGTCAGCCTGAGGGTAAGGCTGGCATCCCACAAACCCCAAGTAATACCTCCCACCCTGGGAAAGCCTTGGGGGCTCCAGCCCTTGTCCCACACACCTCCCACCCCCGACCCCACAGCATAAGAGGGTGGCAACCAGCCCCACACAGAGAAGAAGGCCCAGGCGCTTGGCTTTGCCTGGGGTCTGGCTGCCCTACAGGCCCCCAGGAAGTGGGGCAGGGAAGTCTGGGTAGGTGGGAGGGCTGGAGAGATCTGGTGTCCCTGGCCCAGGAGCAGGGTCCCCACCTCGTGGCTGCACTGCTTCAGAGGGCTGCATTCAGGTTTGTCCTCCCTGGATGGGATGCATACCTGGGGGAACAGGTGCAGGCTGGAAGTGGGCCCCTCCACACCCTTGGGGCCTTCCCATCCAGTCAGCTGGCCCTCACCTGGAGGATGACTCCCATCACAGGCAGGCTCAGGGTCTGCCCAGGCATAGGGGCTGGCCACTGGTCAATCTCACTGCATACTGTGGACACAGGTGGCCAGTGTCAGGACCCTGCCCCAAGCAGAAGCAGCCTGCTGAAGTCCCAAGTGCTCGGTGGGGATGCTGAGATCAATCTGACAATGTCTGATGGCCACTCACCTGCTTCCAGGCAGGGAGCCAGCTTGTCAAAGTACTCGGGGGCGATCAGGCTCAGTAGCGTCTGGAACAGCCGTACAAAGGGCAGGCGGGACACCAGCACCAGAGACTGCAGGGCCCACGGGGCTGGTGAGACATCACCCCAGGCACCCACGAGCCTGCAGGGACCCTGAGCCTGGACCCAGACTCCACCCAGGGCAGTGTGTCCCACCAACTCCAATGGATAGCTGTCCCTAGGAATGGCCCAACTTGAACCCCAGGTTATCAGACAGAAGATCTGAACCCTGTCCTGGATGACGTCAGCGTGGAGCTGGCCCTGGGCCTTCAGAGGGAAGTACACGAAGCCAAGATTTCTGGGATGATCTTCTCAGGGGTCAAGCAGCTCTTGCTTAGGCATCTGAGTTCAATACTAAAGTTGTCCTAATCTTCAAAGTGTGACGAGGGTTCCCCTCCAGCCAGCAGCAAGGAGCAGGGATGTCTGGGGCCCCGAGAAGGAGGGCTGAGGGCACGGTGCTGGGCAAGGAGGGGGCAGTGGGGTCTGTTCCCCAGAGGAGCCAGCAGGAGAGCTGGAGGCAGCAGCTCCTCTTCCCTCTCTGCCTGCTGCAGCTCTACGTGGCCAGGGCCATAGGAGAGGCAGGCACTCCTGGAGGCTCAGGCCCCGGGCCCCTCAGACCCTCTCAGCCGCACTGCCCCGGGGGCAGCCAGGTGGCTCACCTTCTGGAAGTAGCCCCTCTTCACGGAGCCGTCCTTCACCTGCCTGAAGTACACGTAGCCAAAGTAGTGTGCCAGCTCCTTCTGGAAGGGGCAGTGTCAGCCAGGCCACACCCACCCCCTGCTCCCTCTGCCCACCCAGACCCACTGCCACGGCTGCCACACCATCCCCAACCATAGGGGTCAGGCCTGGGGGTCCTCAGCTGAGGGGGTGACACCTCCACAGGGAACATTTCTGCAGATGCAGTGGTGAGTGGCTTGGGGACCCAGGAGCATCTGAAGGCAGATACCTGTCTCTGCACACCAAGCCACACCTGTTGCTTGTTGGGTGCCTAAGAAAAGCTCCAGGGACCCGGCTGAGTCCCCAGAAGAGCTGGCCCACTCCTGATCAGGCTGGGCTTGCAAAAGCTGGAGACCCTGGTGGCTGCGGCCAGCCAGAGCCTCTCCTGCCACACAGGGCCCAGTGCCTTAAAGGGGCTGTCCATACTATCCCTAACCTGGCCCGCAGGAAGAGGGGAGTGGCAGGCTAGAGAGGCAGCCCATGCTCACCTGCAGTGATGCGGGGGCCCCCCTGTCATAGCATCTGTCACTGGCGTGCCAGGGGCCCCTCTGCCCTCCACACTGACGGATGCGGAAGCTGAACTGAGTGTCCCCAAGGCAGCCTGGGAAGGAAGGGAGCCCCGCCACACATGGTCAGGCAAGGACCTTGAGGGCTGCCCTCTGACGGGCTATAAATGCCCCTGAGAGAAAGCCCAGCTCTCTGTGTCTGCATCTCCCCATGGAGCTCCCTGTGTCCTGATTCCTGCGCTGGAGTTTTAGAAAAAACTCAGCACCAGAGCAGCCCCAGCCCACAGCATCCACACAGTGAGCAAGCCCAGCCCCGGGAACAGCTTCCTTGGTGTGGGACCCTGACACTGAGCCCTGGGGAGGGGCACAGGCTACATCACCCAGCTCCAGGTGGCCACTGTGGTGGGGTGCAGGAGACTTGGCCCTGCTGGGCCCTTTGCCCAGCCACCTCTTCCAACATGAACCGGGGGAGCCTGGCAGCCACTGCTGCAACGTGGAGCTTGGGATGTCTCCACACAATGTACCGACTCTGTGATGCCCTGGCTGAGGCCTCAAGGGCTCTCGGCAGCTTCACTTCCTGCCTTCTTTCTTACCCCCAGCCCCAGGGCCAGTGTCCAGAGCGGGGCAAGTTGGGGTCACCTACCTGAATGGGAGTCAGGAAAGGACAGGTAGCAGATGCTGCTTTTCTGAAACACATGAAACGTAGTGAGGGCCGGCCCCCTCCTGGGTGATGTCTGCTCCCAAGGAGGCTGGGACCCACCTCTTTGTCTGTGAGCCGGAAGTCACTTGGGTACACCAGCTGCAGGGGACACAGAGCACTGAGTGAGTCGGCTGGTCAGGTCAGGACGCTGGACTACGTGTGTGTTCCCCTCTCACTTTCCCGTCTCTTCTCGGCTCATCTTCACTGGCTCAGTCCTCCTGCCTTCTCCCACCTCTGGCTCCCCACTGACCCCTTCTGCTCTTCTCTGGACTCCCCTGCCTCCCCAGGCCCCTCTCAGCATGAGGCCACTCCACCTTCCTTCCCCTTGGCCACGTACCTGGGCAGATCTCCAGCCCCTTCCCCACACCCCATGCCCAGTCTGTGGTTGGGTCTCCCTGCTGCCATCAGCCCGGGGGGCTGTCCCCACAGTTTCAGGAGCAGTTTTCGGAGCCTGCTGGAGGCCTCCTCTCTGGTCTCAAGCGGCAACAAGGTCTGCCTGCTGCCCACCTCCAGCCAGAGGGTCTCAGCTACGCCAGGGCCCACTCTGCCTTGTCCGGGGCCCTGCTCCCCTGGGCCTAGCCAGCCTCATCTCTCCTGGTCTTCACCCAGATGTCACCCAACAGTGGTGTTCCTGCCTCTTGAAGGCACCGTGAGCATCTTTACCCAGTCCCCGCTGGTCAGGGATCCCGGAGCTTCTGGCCTGGGCCTCACCTGTAGCATGAGCCCCGAAGAGGGCTCTGAGTTGGTGGTATCCAGTGAGGGTGACCAGCTGGATGAGCCCTACATCCTCTGGGAGTGGAGAGCCAGTGAAAGCACAGGCTTGGCACCCCAGGCCCTGACTGACGCAGGAGGCAGGCCCTGCTCTGGAGGCCACAGGCCGAGGTGCAGATGCCTGGCCAGAGCGGGTTTGCTTGTATGACACCATAAAGGCAGGGAGCCCCCAAAGCTCCCGAGGTGCCCCAGGGACTTGGTGCTCACGGCTTCACTTTGCCCTGGCCTGTGCTCTCCCAGGAGCGGCAGTGCTGGAGCCTTTGGAGGCCAGGAGCCAAGTGCCTGCACACGTGGGTCCCCCCTTGCTCCATCCACCCAACTCCTGCACTGAGGAATTGGGCTTCAGTGGAAATGAGGCTTCTTCTGGGGTGTGCCCTGGAACCCAGACAGTGTGTCACTGCACCCGGTTTGTGCTGTTGGGTGATGCAACTTCTTGTCCTGTTGCTCGGGGCTGCAGCACCAGCCCGGTGCTGCCGAGTCCTCCCCGAGGAAGAGACACGCCAGCTTTGCCTTGAAAAGGCCCATCAGCACAACACTTCAAGTGCACCCAGGGGCCCCAGGCCCCATGAGGTTGGAGCCACGGTCCCCCCACCGTCTTCTCTTTCCTGTGCAGTGCTGGCGCCAGAGGCCACTGAGGGGAATGCCCGCAGGAGCTGATGTGAGGGTCCATCTGTCCCGTCTGTGGTACACCAGGTGTCCTGAACACAGGGACCGCACCCCAGCATGAGCAAACCCCTGCAGAACATGGTATTTGTGAAGTGTGCCAAGACACGTCTGTGAAGTAGGACAGGTGGGTGACATGCGAGGGGGTGCCCGTTAAGGAAGTAATAAGAAGGAAGTGCTAAGAAGGAAGGGAGCCGAAGGGTATTTGTCTGGAACTGGACCCACAGAGGCGCCCTGGGACAGCTCTGAGAGGGGCAGGGGCTGCAGGACTATGCAGGCCACGCCCTCACGTGTCTGTGGGGGGGAGGGCTGAGGAGAGGGCAGGGCTACCATGAACCCTCTGTGCGGAGGCCAGGTGTCTGCACCTGTTCTGAGCAGGTCACCTCAGGCTCCAGCTCCACACTCAGGCCCAGGGACCCAGTAGGACACTTGACGGAGTAACCCATGTCCACAGCTGGCACACCCGTTCTTGGGAGCAGGGACCAAAGGTGAAGTGGACCACGCTGGGCCACACCTCAGCAAGGGGGGAGACAGGGAAGGGGCTGTGTTGCCACCAGCCACAGGGGCTGGGTCTTCCCACCTGAGCCCCAGCCAGCCCGGTGCTGCCCAGTCCTCCCCGAGGAAGAGACACGCCAGCTTTGCCTTGAAAAGGCCCATCAGCACAACACTTCAAGTGCACCCAGGGGCCCCAGGCCCCATGAGGTTGGAGCCACGGTCCCCCCACCGTCTTCTCTTTCCTGTGCGGTGCTGGCGCCAGAGGCCACTGAGGGGAATGCCCGCAGGAGCTGATGTGAGGGTCCAGCTACCTCCTCCTCAGCCAGACATCCAAAAGGTTTGTAAAAGTGTCAAATGATGCCACTCTGCTCACTAAATTTTGAAAATATGGTTGTTTTCATGAAAATGTTAACATTTATGTCAACACAGAACATTTTCTGTTTTAGAGTGGATTAATACATACTTTTAAATATCCTCAGTTTTAATAGTATAATGAACATTGATAGATATGACCCCCACAAAAAACACTTTGGAGTTCTCGATAACTTTTAAGATTGTGAAGGGTCCTGAGACTGTGCAGTGGGAAGCTGTGCCTGGGAGGGTGTGAACACCATGGTAGGGAAAATGCTCTTGGGGTCCTCCAGCTGAAATTCAATCCACAGGCTTGGCAGGTGAGATACTGAGGGGTGAGCTCCCAAGCTGAGACAGTGGAGCCGGGCACTTTCCTTAGCTGATCTGCATACCTTTCCCCATGACCTTGCCTGCCCCGTCTCAAGTCTGAGCCCTCCCTGCCCAAATGGGATGTCCCCACATATCCTCTGCACAGTCCTGAACCACCTACACGCTGTCTCTGGCACAGAATAGAAACTCCAGGAGGGCAGGGCCTATCTTCTCGTTTAACCTTATGCCCCCAAGTCCAGCACTGGCACCACAGGGCCTGCCTAGTAGCAGCTGCCCAGAACCTGGTTTATTGAATGAATGAATGGGCAGCTTCCTACCTTTGTTTTTTCTGGCAATTTTGAAAGAGGGGCTACCTGAAACAGGCCTACTTCCCTGTCCAGCTGCCTCCTTCATACCTTCTGAGATTTGGCCATGCCTCAACCCTTCCTCTGAGCTCCAGCTGTCTATGGAGTCTCTGTGGGCTGTGAGCTCCAGGAAGACAGCAGAGGCCAGGGCCTTTGCAGCATTCAGCCAGGCTGACCTGGTGAATACGTGAGCTTATGGAATGTACCCCTGAAAGCCTGTGAGCTCAGAGGAGATGACCCTTGATCTTCCCCATGATTTCCAGGGACAGAAGGAAATGTAAAACACAAACCTGATGAGGGCCATGTGGCCACAGTGCCCAATAGATTCAGAGCCCAATTCCTGCACAAACACAATGATTTGGAGGGGTCCTGGGTCCCAACACTCTCTCCCTGAGCTGTGCAGCCTCAGTAAAGGCTCAGAAGCCCAAGTACACAGAGCCTTTCACAATACTTGCTTAGAATTAGCCTTCTGACTTGTTTTGTTTTAGGAAATTACACATGAGAATGCCTTAAGGAAATAGAAGAATCTCTTCTCTTGTGATCTTATGGGGAACAAGTTGGGCAATAGTAAGAATGTGGGCTCTGTGCTGTAGGGTAAATCACCTCTCTGAGCTCAGTTCACTCCATCAAGTGAGGCTGTCACAATAATGCATGCCTGGTGAGGATGGGTGTGGTGGCATGGGCTCTCCAGAGAGCTGGACACAGTGCCAGGAGCCAAGAGGCCCCAGAGATGCAAGCTTCATGGCCTTTCAGAGCTTGACAAGTTCACAAGTATGCTACCTGCCAGGCTCACGGAGTTCTTTCTGACAGTGTGGGAAGTCTACCTGCCAGCCTCCCCTGCACCGGCCGGCTCACCTGGTCTGTGTTGTGGCCCTCAGGGCATAGAGAAGACCCTCCTGACAGGCCTTTGGAAGGCCTCCCTCCCTGCGTCCACCACATTTTCAGCTACACCCGGAGGAAAGAAGCTGCCAGTGGGGGTGGAGAGGAGCCTTGCAGGCAGCGGGAACGCCCCAGGCCTGGTGAGCTAGGTGCAGCGGGTGAACAGAAAGGTGACTGCTGTGGCTTGAGTGTGACCCGCAAGAAGTACGGATCTGATTCTAAGTGAACAAAGAGGTGTTGAAGGACCGTAAGCGGGAGAGCCACAAGGTGCGACTTTGTAGGGCAGTTGGGAGGGGGTATCCGAGATCGCACTGGGGGAGATCAAGAATACCACCCTCCTCCATCCCCACTGGACGTCTTGGAAACTCGACTTTGCTTCTTTTGCCAGGGGAGCGGCGCCTTTCAAGAGGTGACAACTGCGGGAGGAGGAGGAAGAGGCCGCCTGGGGGTGTGCCGGGGGCTCGGGGGCCCCCTCGTCCCGCGGCTCCGGAGGAGGGCCCGCCCGGGCCTCCGCAGCTGCCCGGCCGCGCCGCCCCCGCGCCCCCGCGCCCAGCTCACCTCCAGCGCCTGGCCCAGCTCCAAGTCGAAGGTGACCACGCACACGCACTCCAACCAGGCCGAGAAGCGCGCCCAGGGTGCCGCCGGAGCCCGCGCCTGGGAGGACGGCGCGCTGAGGTGGTCGCGAGCGCTGCTGGACTCGGGGCGGGACAGCGCATCCATGGCTGCTCGCAGCGGCCGGCAGCGTGTTGCCCGGGGAACGGCCCCGAGGCGTTGCCGGGGGAACAGCCGGGAGGCGGTGGCCTCGGCGCACGTCGGGCCGCGCTGTGGAGCAGTCGAGCGTCCGGCGTGGACCAGAGCGGCCCTGCTGCGATCTCGCCCGCCCCTGGCGGCCGGAGGAGCGCCGTACAGACCAGAGAGAAGGGCCCGCGCGAGCTAGAGCGGCCCAGAGGCAGGAGGCGGACTTCCGGGAGAGTGGCCGGCCGGGGGCGAGGTGGCGCGGGGGCGGGGAGTGCGGGGCGGGCTGGGGGCGGGCTGGGAGAGGGCTGGGAGAGCTTTCGGGTGGAGGGCAGCGCGGGCCGCGGCTAGCCGGGGCTCGGAGGTAGCCGCGGGCGGCAAGCGGCGCGAGGCAGGGGGCGCCCGGGCAGCTTGCCCCACTCCCGCTTTACCCGTCGCTGCACGTGGTCCGACCCCGGCAGCGCCGGTCTCCTTGGCCTCAGGCCTGCGCTCTCCGGAGGTGTGGGCCCCTCGGGCCGCTTCGCACCGCCCCGCGCCTGTTGGTCGAAACCAGACGGACGCCAGGAAGGAAGAGGCGGGGGAAGGGGGCGGGTGGCGACTGAGGGGCAAGTCCCCTCCGCTCCGGTGTCCGCTGCGGGCAGCCCCTGGCTCCCGAAATGTGGCTGCAGAGTCCCCACCCGGGTCACATAGTCGAGCGTGGAGCGGCCAGTTTGGGAACGCGACGTGTATTTTTTTGGAATGAAAACTGACTCCGGCCAGGCTGGGCTCCCGTGAGTGTTTTTCACGCATGCGTGGCCTGGTGGGAGAGTCTGGTGGGTCTTCACTAGCTGTGCCTCTGGAGCACGTGGCCGCCTGAGCCCCCGGCGGTGGGGACGACGTTAATGAGGCCTGCTAACTAATTGCCTTGGCCTCAGATAATGTATACATCATTTCTGCTTACAGGCCATGGGCCAAAACTAGTCGGCGGTCGGAAACTAACTGCAAAGAAGCCTGGGAAATGAGGGACATGGGTAGTTGGTGAGCCACGCATTATCCTTTATAATTACCATATGTCGTTGAAGAGGCCATTATTTTATAATTCCCCAAGACAAGCTGCTACCAATTACGCAGTGAGAGCAATCAAATGTTTTCAAACATTCTATTATGAAATGTTTAAACCAGAAAAGATGAACTCTCCAATGACCATTTATCTACTACCTAAAATCTATATCGATAATTAACATTTTGTTGTATCTGCTTTATTCCATGTATCTATATCCTTTCCTCTATGCATCCGTTTGTCTTTTACGATTAATTTCAAAGACAGTTGCAGATATCAGTGCTATCACCCTTACAGTGTGTGTGTCATTGATTAGTACTTGTCAGTTCTTTTTTCTTTCTTGCGGGGTAAAGTGTGTGTATAATGAAGTGAATGAGACTTACATGGACACATTTTAGCCCAAAATACTAGCAAGATCGGCACCATCGACATCACTCCAGAAAGTTCCCTCATGACTCTTCACGCCCATACCCCATTATTCTGATTCTTTGCACCACAAATTACCCTATTCTAGAAATAAACTGCATAAAACGGAATCATACAATTGGTAGTCTCTTGTGTCTGGCCTCTTTCACACACCATGTTTTCGAGTTTCATCCACTTTGTGGTGTGTCTAATAAGTACACCCCTTCGTATCGCTGTGTGTATCCTACTTTGTGAATACACAACAGTTTGTTTATTCCTTCTATTGATGGACATTTTGGCTCTTCCCAGTTTTTGGTTAAAGTAAGTAAAACTTTGAAGATCCCTGTACAAAACCCCTTGTGGAGATGCATTTTCATTTCTCATGGATGAACACCTAGGAACTGAATTGCTGAGTCATAGCAATAGTTGTAAAGATATGTATTAAGCTTTTTAGAAACTGCCAGACATTTCCCAAAGCAACATTTTTCTTATTGCCACCAACAATGTCTTTCTGTTTGCTTCACATCCTTGCCAATATTCGATGTTGCCTATTGTCTTAATTTTAGCCAGTCCCCAGTGCATGGGTAGTGCCAACTTTAAAAATAAAACTGTCAGTTATTTTACCAGCAAAATGGGTTTGTTCAGAAACAGCAGAAAATTGGAACTGAGGACAAGCTATTGGCAAAGCCACAAGCAAGCCCAGGTGCAGAGCAGAGGAGGCTCCTTTATAAAGGGGGACCTGTTGGGCTTCTAAGCGGAAAGCCCATTGGAGGAAATTGAGAGTTGTAGGTGTCATGACTGCTCATTGGAGCCATGACAGCCTCTCATTGGCTGGGCTGTTGCTGCAGCAGGCAGAAGTGCTTCCTTCCTCTACTGGGTGGGAAAGGAGCCCAAATAGTATGAGTTGTAAAGCATTAAGTCCTTCCTCTGGCGTCTGCGGTTGACCGGGAGGGGTGGGCGTCGAGCTCCCCCTTCAGGCCTCTCCGTGGCATGTCAGGGCGTGGGGGGGCCTCCCTTTATCAATTTTCACAGTAGTGATATCTAATTTGTGGTTTTAATTTGAATTTCTCTAATAATGGTGTTGAGCATTTTTTTCATGTGCTTATTTGCATACCATCAACTGTAAAATGTATTCTGATTTCAAGCGTTAAATTATGAGAAAATGTGCATCTTAAAATCTAACAACCCCCAAAAGTTCCTTTGTGCCTTTTTTTTTTTTTTTCTTGAGAGGGCATCTCTCATATTTATTGATCAAATGGTTGCTAACAACAATAAAATTCTTTATAGGGGACTCAATGCACAATTATTAATCAACCCCAAGCCTAATTCTCAACAGTGTCCAATCTTCTGAAGCGTAACGAACAAGGCCTTACATGGTGAACAAGTTCTTACATAGTGAATAAGTTCTTACATGGTGAACAGTGCAAGGGCAGTCATATTACAGAAACTTTCGGTTTTGATTGAACATCATGAACTATAAACAAGTCATATATGATTATTCATTTGATTTTTATACTTGATTTATATGTGAATCCCACATTTCTCCCTTACTTTAAAAAAAAATGCTGAAGTGGTAGGTAGATGCAAGGTAAAGGTAGAAAACATAATTTAGTGCTGTAAGAGGGCAAATGTAGATGATCAGGTGTGTGCCTATGGACTAAGTATTAATCCAAGCTAGACAAGGGCAACATCCACGGATGTAGAAGATTTCTCTCAAAGCAGGGGGGGTGAGGTTCTGAGCCTCACCTCTGTTGATCCCCAATTTCTCACCTGATGGCCCCCCTGCGACTGTGCCTGTCTTAGGTTGTTCCTCCCTTGAGGAATCTTACCCGTCTCTGGCTAACCAGTCATCTTCCAGGGCCATACAGGGAGATGTAAAGTTGGTAAGTGAGTGAGAAGCCCTTTGTGCCTTTTTACAATCCATTCCTTCTCACACCTGAAGTCCAGGCATCTATTGAACTGCATTCTGTCTGTTTTGCTTTTTCTCAAAATTTCTATATAAATGGAATATGCAATGTAGGAGGCTGAATAATGACCCCCAAAGATGTTCACAGCCTAATTCTTGGAACTTGTGAATATATTACCTTACTTGAGGTGAAAGGGCCTTTACATTTCTGATTAAATTAAAAGATCTTGAGATCCAGAGGTTATTCCCGATTATACAAATGGGTTCAATGTAAGACTCCCTTTAAGAGGGAGGCAGGAAGAGCAGAGTCCAAGAAGGTGATATGATGATGGAATCGGAAATTGAAAAGATGCCACATGACTGGCTTTGAAGATGAAGGCAGGGCTCATGAGCCAAGGAATGTGGATGGCCTCCAGAAGGTGGAATAGCAAGGGAACAGTGTCTGTCTTGAGACCTCCAGAAGGAACACAGACTCCTTTCAGATTTCTGACCTCCAGAACTGTGAGATAATAAATGTGTGTTGTTTTAAGTCATGGAGTTTGAGGCAATTTGTTAGAGTAGCCACAGAAAACTGATATATAAAATATGTAATCTTTTCTTGCACTCCGTGTAATATTTTTGAGGTTTTCCATGCTCTTGCATGTATCAGTACTGTGTTCCTTTTTATGAATAATGTCCCATTGATGCTGGGGTTCTTGTTTGCGGAGTCAAAGAATGACCTTATCAAACAGTCAAGGTAAGACAGCCAGGGAGAGGCTTTTATTTAGAAATAAAGTGAGAGGACAGAGCTCCTGGCTCACGCCAGGGGGGGGACAAGAGAGCCCCCGGGGTGGTGCGTTGTCTAGGGGATTTATAGGCAGTTGAGGATTTTTGGGAATTGAGGGCTTAGGGTGTGGACTTGTACCACCTGCCCTGCCCTCAGGGCTCTTGGGTCGCTGTCTGTCTGCTAGGGCTGTTTACAGTGAAGTCACGGGTTATGCTGAGATGCCCTTGGGGAACACTCAAACATTCCAGGCCAGGTTGCTCCTGGCCTTTTGACCTTTAACTGATCTCACTGAAGATGGCTATATTCCTACTCTAGTATCTTTACCCTAGAGAATTAGTGTGACCTTGACTTTGCATAATGCTGAACAGAGTTTCCATAGGGACTTTACATTGTTACATTGCTTTGACTATAAATATCTTGCCTTGCTTTTTCCTGAGGCCCTCACCCTACACTGTCTAAGCCCATGGTCCCTGTCTCACCAATTGTCTGGACATATGGCATTTTCTTTATGCATTCACCAATTTGTAGCCATTTGGATTGTTTCCAGTTTTTGCCCATTAGGAATAATGGTGCTCTATACATTTGCATACAAGTCTTTGTGTAGACACGTTTTAATTTCTCTTGGGTAAATACTTAGGAGTGAAAGTGTTGGGCTTGTATGATAAACTTATCTTTAACTTTTTAAGAAACTGACAAACTGTTTTCCAGAAATGTATGAGGGTTCTAGTTTCTCCACATTGTCACCAGCACTTTGTTCAGTCAGTCTCTTTCATTATAGCCATCCCAAGGGGTGTGTAGTGGTATCTCATGTAGGTTAATTTAGCATTTCCCCGATGATTATTGATGTCGAGCATCTTCT